TGGCATGGTGCTTTATTCTTCTTTCCACTCCAAAGAAGCAAGGGGCAGAGTGCCCAGGGCTGTACACTGTACTGGCCACGCTACTCACTGTAGCTATACCCTCCTCAAAAATGTGCCTTACCTCTTTAATGTCTTGATACTCAGGTGATCAGTTAGAATAATTTTGCTCATACCCTCCAGAAAAGAAAACCAACCTGGCAGAAAAGTAGAACTTCTGTGCTAAGCTTTACCAGCAAAGTGAATTTAAGGAGAGTGAATTGATTCCAACCAGAATAAAAAAGGCTTTTAAGTTTAGCCTTTGTTACACACCTAGAATACATCTAGCCTGTTATATTATTTAAAAAAATTTTTTTTTCTCTTCTTTAAACTATACATTATTTACATTTTTAAAGACCCAGTAGGTCTTTATCATCATTTGGGTAAGAGCTCAAGGTGATTAAACTTCCAGGACAAAGATGAGGCTTTCCAAAAGGTGCTGGTTCTCATCTGTGTGCTAAGACCGATTTTTAACAAATTGCTGTTATAAACTTTTAAAATACTTCTTTAAAAAAATTTTCCCATTAATTTTCTTTTTTTTTTTTTTTGCATCTAGCATGTTAAAAACAGATTGTTTTCTAACTAGAGATGGAGCCAAAAGAAGGAACGTGCCCCTGTACTTCCTTCATCTAAAAACACGGATTTATTTACACTGTGCCCTTTCACAACGCGGGGGTGAGCTTCGGGGAGCAGGGCCATCTCTCCAGCACAGTTAAATAACCACCTGAAGACCCCCTAGACTGATCTGGGTGCTTACTGCATGTTCTGGGTGGAGGTTAAGGCTTGAGAAAGGTAGCCTGCCACTCTTACACATTCGAGAATCATTTTGCGTGTTCAAGAGATTTGAGTTTCCTTGAGAAATGCCATGTTTGGAATAGCTTCCAGAGATTGTTCTGGAACAAAAAGCATTAAAGCAGATGCATTACATTTAGAAGCACAATACATGGGCGGGGGGGGGGGAGGATATTTGCAAAAGCTCAAAGAAAAGGCTGTTTTTCCGTTGAGCTAAACAGTAAGTAGGGTGAGCGTTTTGCGTATAGATGTGCTTTCAAAAGTCCCACCCTGCCACAACTCACAGCCAAGTGAACGTTCTTGGCCCCTGACCTATAAATAAACACTCTAATTCTGCAACTTACTCACAGATTCTGAAGAAGCTGTTCTAAAACAAAAGCCTACAAATTGGTTAGAAGTCTGCAAACTAGAGATGCAATCTATTTGTCCTTTCTCAACCCAAAAACTCTTTGTATTAGTTCTTTGGAATAGTGACTAAGGAGAACTGACATCCAACTTCACAATGAAAACAAAAATTATTCACAATATTGAAGAGGGAATGACATCTTTAATAGGAAGGCATGTGGTCTCTCACAAAAGACTACAGCAGTGCTCAATGAATGTTCCTTTTTCAGTTTGTCTGGGCGTGTTTGCTTTTTGTCAGGCAATAGATTTCAGAAAATATTGGCAATCCTTCAAGAAAAGGATTCAAAAGGTGATTTACTGTTGGCTGGTGCTATCCTCTACTGCCTTTTTGCCTGATGCCCTAGTTTTATGGAAACGAACTAAGGACATGAAACCAGGGAAGAAGAGTACTACTCAAAATATACCTGGCGCTGTCGCTCGGTCAGAAAGGCAACTGGATGCGCTTAGGCTGCCAAGCAGAATTCCTCGTCTGCCTATCGCAGCGCTAACACTCTGAGTTCACGTGCCTTTCTAGGGACAAAATTGAAAACTCAGGCACAACTGTCCATGGTTGCCCTTGCCGCCCCGTTATGGCTGCCTGAATCCAGTCCTCTTTCTTCACCTGCTCCCGTACCTTCTTCCTATCCTTTTCACATTTGATACTTTTCTTTATGAGTTACTCCAGATTTCATAGGTTACAACGCAAGGATTTTAAAAGAGAAAAAAAGGCTAAAGAACATCAATCATTGGATATTTAAGCACTTAAACTCGATTTTTAAAAAAAATTACACTATCAGTAGAAATTCAAACACTTAATGACATCACAATTCAGGCACTTTGAATGAACCACACTTCATAATGGTATCGATACTATTAACCTTCCAAAAGTTATTGTTATTTGTGTCTTTATTAGTAGTGATAGTAAAATTTTAAACTCGATGTACTCATGACCACTACCCCTTCACCTGGACTGTACATTAAATTTGCAGGTTATTTTTAACCGTAACATTTGCATAGGCCCAGGAGCAGACAAAAAGAAAAAGAAAGAGGGAAGGAAGGACAGAGGGAGGGAGGGAGAAAGAAGGAGAGAAGAGGGGAGAAAGCAAAATTGGTAACTTTCTTGCCCAGAGGCAAGTTTGAATGTTAACTGTAGTAAGACTCTATGCATTGCTCTTATGCTAATAAACCAAAACTGCTGCCATGGGGTTTGACTCACGGTGCCCCTATAGGACAGAGGAGAACTGCCCTATAGGGTTTCCAAGCAGCAGCTGGTGGATTTGAACTGCTGACCTTTTGGTTAGCACTCAAGCTCTTACCCACTACACCACCAGGGCTGCCTTATGCTAATAGGAAGAAGACAAGAATCAACCTCGGTGGTTTAGGACCTTTTGCTCATGGCCAAGGTCAGAGTCTGGTCTTTGGTCAGAGGGCCTTTCTGGTGCTCCTCGGTTCCACCAGCAGACAAAACGGGAATGACTGTAATAATATGGACGAATCCTTGCCCATTGTCCTACACAGGTAGGTGCTCAGTAATCACCAAAGGGATTACACGAATGAATGAAAATCAACTCAAAGGACACTGACAGCGTGAAGCCAGCAGTGTCATTTCAAAAGACGAAGGACATCTAGGATGATAAAAACCATTTAAGTAGCTGATTACACTTTGAGATTTTCATAATTTCAAGGATAGCCATACCTTACTTCACTCTATTTCAGAATTATGAAGTACGTGAAGGTAATTAAAGGAAGAAGAAAACGTCCAGTTAATGTCTGCGGGCTTGTCCAGGCAGCACAGCTGTGCAAACCAGTGAACACAACTGAGCCATTCGAACAGCCGTTTGAAAACTTAACTGTGTCACCTTGGACAAGTGGTGAAACCTTGAAATCAGAACTCCTACTGTACCTGTCTCCTCCTACAGCTTTGTGCAGATGAACTAATTCATGTCACGAAGAGACAGAAAGATAAAAAGCCCTGTTTATTACTGTTGTTAGACCTCAGATTCAGCACCAAATCAGAAACAAAATTTTTAAAATCACCTCCATCCCGATTTCGCATTCTTAGATTCTCGTGAAGCAGCATGCTGAATCAGGCTAAATGGTTTCTGACTGCCAGCACTTATAAGCAGGATTTATGAATGGAAATGTGAAGGCCACTGTGACCAGCTCGGAAGCCCCATACTTTCTCCTGGGCTATTTATAGAAAGCATATGGCCAGTGGACAAGATGGGGTTTATTTTTACAAGCCGGTTATGACATGGCCGAAGAACTTGCTTCCTCTCTCTGGGAAGGTCATTTTATTCACCTGAGGGTTTGGCTTCAGGAATGGCGGGGAAGAAAGGAACCCCCTTTAGCCCATTAAGTTAGCTGAGTCAACGCCAGCGACCAACGCACAGGGTGACGGGCACTGAAGTCAAACACACCCTCGTTTCCCAGGCACGACTATATGATGTAGCTCCTTGAAACATCTAGATCATGACTGCTGCTAAAATAGGTTTACAGTATAATGGAGTAAATTCTTAGTTATGATTTGTCCTACATTTCAAAGAGCTGAACACAATAAAGTAAAACTCAATTGTAATGGATGCATCAAAATATTGTGAAAAAATATTTTTAAAGATATTTTATTCTGATTGCAATATTACTCCTGAAACAGCTAATATACCTGGATCAAAACCAAAAACCAAGCCCACTGCCATTGAGTCAATTCTGACTCACAGTGACCCTATAGATCCAAGCAAATGTGGTGACTCAGTAAATATTTGCTCATCCTAAAATGTCATCATTTACCCTGATAGAAATCCAGTATAATTTAGCAAATAATATACACAGTTTAACAAACCATCCTGGTCTTACACAGTGCATATGGTACTGGTTGGCACACGTAAAGTGAAGCCAAACCGTTTTTAACTAGAACGTCCTCCTGTCAATGTTACACTCAGTATACACAATCTCAGGTTGAATGGGAAAGGAAAAGTGGAGGAAGGAAAAGGGAAAACAAAATTGAGTCCTCATTCTCTCTGGGACGTAGTGGGTGCTGAAATCTTCCCAGGGAAAAGCGTGTCATCTTACTGGGCTCACGCATCATAATCACTGGAAAATGATACGGGTATAATTTTGTCCTTAAGTGGCCTCTGCTTAAGGACAAAGGCATATGGCAAGGTGAGGATTCTCTTTGCAGATCCAGAAGTTCTCCAACAAAAATTAAAAATGACAAATACAGGTTTTTTCCCTTGTTCTCAACTCATCAATCTCTTTTAGAAGTTTGCCTTCTGAAAGTTCTTTCCAAAAGAGGAGGTCCCATTTTACAAGGAAGCTATCAAATACACCTCAACCTGCTTCTCTAGCTTCCAAATCAGCATTGTTTGGGGCTAAAGCAGCAGCATTAATAACATGTAAGTAAGTTTGCATGTGGAAATATCCTGATTTCCATGACTGTCCTTGAATATGCAGTACTGAATCACGTTACAGCTGACAAATAACATCTGTTGTGGGCACAAATTATCAGCCCCTGTAATCTCACAGGAATTTCCCTGCACTTCACAAAGGATGAGACTCTGACGCCCATCAGCAACTGTGCAAAAGTGTGCTTACAATTCCATTAAGAGGTTCTAAGTTAAATACATTTAAAAAAAAAAAAACCCAAAACTAGTTGCCATCAAATTGTTTCTGACTCGTGGCAACCCCATGTGTGTCACAGTAGAACTGTGCTCCATAGGGTTTTCAATGGCTGATTTTTCAGATGCAGATCACCAGGCCTTTCTTCCAAGGTGCCTCAAACCATTGACCTTTTGGTTGCACCACCCAGGGATTCCAAACTAAATACAGACATACGTGAATTTAATTTCTGTGTGCAAGTTAACATACAAGGATACTGGTTCCTCCGTGAATTGTACCGAGCCTTTCTAGTGACAAATACAGTAGTGACTGAAAGCAAAAACAAAAGGGCAATCTTTTTAGGAGGGCCTGCATACCAGCCCTGCAGTAAGTGTTCATTCACCTGATAGCTTGATCAAAGTTAGGCCATTAAATCAATTGGTTCTCACCAAAAAGATTTAGCAGGAAGTGTGGTAAGTACTTACACCTCAGTGGTTTGTGTTAATCTAGAGTTGCCATCTCAATTACAGATCAGCATTTGCAAGAAGATGTCTAAATAATGCTGACCACTCTGGTCATTAGAAAGGGTCTCAGGTGCATGGAAACTAATTTCTCAACGAATGAGGGTGACCACCAATAAATGCCCTCGTCTGGACCCTAACGACACTTCAGTGTGTGACCGGGCAAGTGTAATTATTTAATTCAAATTTTTCAGTTAGGACTCAAATAATATGCTCCTGATTTTTATAACTGTTTCATTTACTCTTGAACATTCTATTTCTAATTTTAAGCAAAGACGGAGGGCATCAGTTTAGAACAGCATCCTCTCACCCTCCCCGGTGGCTGCCCTGGGCACCACAGCCACCTTGGAGGGTTGGCTCCTTCTCCTTGCAGAGACACCCAAAGCTCTGCACGTCCCAGCAAGCTACTTCCGGTTCTACCACAAACTTACAACCAGCTTCCTCTCCTCCTGGCGGAATGTGAAACTTTGATTTGCAGTAAGAAAAGCTTCCACCTACTGCTCTTCCCATGCAAGAAACTCTGCGTGGACCCGTCTCTTGGGCATTGCTTCAAAAGGCACATTTATTTCAGTGGTACTTTAAATAAATAGAGAAGGGAAGAATAAGATTAAAACAGAACAACAACAAAACAGGGTGCGTTCTGGGGAATACATTAAAGTAAATAGAAATCTGGGATCTATACAAACCACTCGAGCTCCTCACCAATAGTTTAACCAGAGTCCCTTAGGTAGAATAATTCAAAGTTGTAGCATGACCCACACAGGCCTTCAGAAAACTGTTTAAAAAAAAGTGGTTGAGAACTCTCAAACAGCTTTGCCCTGATGTCCAGTTCAAGTGTACATAATGCAGAAGGCCTGCAAAATTCAAAACTATGTGACAAAGAAAATTCAGTGCATATCACAGGCTTTGTATAAATTATGAAAAATCATTGTATATATTACTATTTAAATAACATCTGAGAAACATTTTGAAATATTTTTTGTTCACATTCCATGCATTTTCTAGCAGGCTAAGCCCTAGGTTTGTCTTTGTGCCCTGTCTCCTACAAAGCTCCACTCTTTTGACAAATCCAAGCATTCCTCAGACTGAAATGGAAGTACTGGAAGATTTTGTCGATTGACCTTTACTGCATACCTGACTCACAAGGGCTACTTGTTATTACCGCGGGCACAGAAGACAATTGGAAAAGCCAACTGTTTGGGGTTTTATTTGGGATTTTATTCGCTGCCTTTGAAAATCCCTGAATGTCACAGGCTCTCCAAATCACCACCTGAGATTTTTCCAGGGGCAAGAACCAGTGGCCCTCTCCCTTCTGCTTGACCCCCTCGGTCCCTCTCCCAAAGCCCGAAGCACCCTGGAACCCTTTGTAGTAGGTGGACTTCCTCCCTGTGGTTTTGCAGCACCCTCCTCGAACAAAGAAGGAAACACAAGAAAACTTTGAAACAAACCAACACGAGCAACAGAAACTCCAAACAAACAGGTGGGCGAACCAGCTGTCTTCTCCAAGGCGAAGGCTCACTTCTTACAGCAGAATTCGGAGACGTTTAGGAACTTCCTGATGACCAGCCCCAGGCAGATCACCAGCAGCAGCATGTAGCCCACCGTGCCCAAGAAGGTGGGCGCGGCGGGTGGCGCCTTGAGGAACTGGCGCAGGCCCTCCTCTACATAGTACACCTGGTCGTAAATGCTGAGGAAGGTAAAGATGTGGAAGAGCTGGTGGCTGTGGCCGATGATGTCAAAGAGGCCCGGCTGGATGCGCTCGGGGATCTTGCTCACGTTGAAGAAGGCGGCCACGACCAGCCAGAAGTAGCGGCGGTAGAAGTGCACAAAGAGCGTGGGGTTCTCCCCGCGCAGGTCGAAGAGCCAGCTCTCGAGCATGATGGGGCAGGCCATGCTGAGCGGCATGACGAAGACGAAGGTGCGCAGCGCGAACGGGTAGGAGCACCAGTCGGTGCGGCTCTTGCAGCAGGCCACGGTGCAGGCCACCGCCAGCACGAAGGCTACGGGCAGCACAAGCGCACGGTAGGCGGCGATGAGGCGCGAGCAGTCCACGTGCCAGCCCAGGCGCTGCTGCACGTACGGGGTCATGACTCTGGCGTCCAGCAAGCTCAAGCCCGGCAGCAGGTAGTAGTAGTAGGCCACAGTGCTGCCGAAGCCGTAGTAGCTGATGGACGCGTAGTCCAGGTAGAAGAAGGCGGCGCGCAGGCGCAGAGACAGGCAGCTGAACACGTGCGCCGTGCAGCTCATGGCGAAGGTCAACAGCACTCCCGACGCGTAGCACCACAGCGGCAGCAGCCACGGGTGATGGAAGGGTACGTCGCGGCCGCTCAGGAAGAACAAGCGGCAGAACTTGCTAAGGAAAAGCAGCAGCGGGATAAAGTGCGTCCAGAAGTTGAGCGTCTCGTTGGTCGGCTTCAGCACCGAGGCCAGGCACTCCTGCGCCGTGCAAGGCAGCCGCCGGTAGCCGGACAGGATGAAGCACTCCACGAAATCGTCAGGCACCTCGTCCCAGCGCAGCAGCGGCTTGGCCGACGCTGGGGGGTCTGCGGCGGAGGCGGCGCGGTGGGTGCATGGGGTGGTCCCCGAAGCCGCCACGGCCGTAGCGGGCGGGCCCTTTGTGCCCGCGCCCCGGGGCTGCAGGCGCCGCGGCATGGTGCCCGGGGCTCGGCTAGGGCGCGCACAGGCGACCTCTGGCGCCGGCTCCCGCCGGCCGCCGTCGGAGGCTTTGTGCCCGCGCCGGGGGCGTCCCTGCAGGTTCAAAAGAAGACTTGCGCCTCTGAGCAGCCGCTCCTGAAAAAATATAATAAATAAATAAGCAGCGGGGAGCGGCCGCCGCGGCGACCGGCAGAGGCGCGCGGGGCGGCGGC